GGGCATGAGGAGGCCCGGGCACGCTCTGGGGCCGGCTGGTGTGCACAGCAGCGTGAAGCGCGGTTGCCGCTCCGTGGGCGGTGGCGGCGTCGGGGGAGCAGAGCAGGGGGTGGGGTGGAGAGAGACGGCGAGGCCGGGGCCTGAGGAGGCCGGGCCGTTCAGGGAAGCCGGACACACCGCCGCACGGCCAGGGCAGGGCCATGGCCTGGGACTCCCGTGGCCTGGGCTCCTCTCCTGCTGACCAGCTGACAGGGGCAGGCCCAGGTGGCCCCTACCCACCCTGCCTGGTTCCTGGCTAGGTCCTCGGCCCACACTCACAGTTCCCACTCCGGCTCATTAAAGGGAGCCAGGGGTTTGCACGGATGGAGGAAGGTAGGGCTGAGGGTCAGTGCAGTGGCCGCTGTGGGGAAGCTGGAGGCCATCTGTCCCCGTCATAGCTCCTGCTGCTGCAATGGGCCAGCTAGGGGCAAGCAGGGCCAGGCGCTGGCTCCGTCCCCTCAGCGCTGCTCAGTGGGGCCTGGCTCTGGAGGGCTGCGCGGGCTCTCAGGATTGGGCGCAGCCAGGGCACATTTCCCCCACAGCCCCCCCCACCCCCCCACCCCCGCCAGGATGGAGGACCCGGGAGCCTGGGCCAGGCAGGTTGTGGAAAACTGGCTGCAACCCCCGACAGCCCGGGCCTTAGTGAAGACCTCGCAGGCAACTCCACTCCCTGGACCTGTGGTTTCGGGAACTATGGCTCTCTTTTGCTGGTGCCAGTTGGTGGCAGGAGATGAGAACCTGGGAAGCAGGGGCCCGGGGACATCCCTGGCGGCAAGGGGCGAGGGCAGGCAGGGCAGTGGCAGAGAAAGCGGAGCTGAATCTCTTGCTTTGAGTCCCTCTGCCCTCTTTCCTTAATCTGCCTTCCTGGAGGAACGGGGGTGCTGAGAGGAGGGGCGGCTAATCCTCCTGGCCACCACCCCGCCGATCTGGTCCTGTCTCTGGGCCGTGGCCTCTGCCAGCTGTTACCAAACTTCCTTTGTCTGGAGTGGGAGCCAGGGCCGGAGGGAGCCAGGACACGCCGAGCCTTAATCCAGACACGTGGCTTAATCCAGGAGAGATCAACTCGAGGTTTGGGAGCTGTGGGCATCGCTCAGGAGACCGCAGCCCGGGCTCGCCGGCAGAGGCCAGGGGCAGGACTGGGTCTGCCATCCAGGGGACCTGGACCTGGCAGGTACCTGGCTTGTCCCAGGCCCCCAGGTGTATGAAGTGGTGGCCTGAGTGTCAGGGGCCCTTGGTCTGGCGCTGGCTCCACTGAGTGACCGCGGCGCCTCCCTGCCACGCTTTGGGCCCCAGATTCCCCAGTGCACGAGTGTCCCCTGGGCAGGCGGGCACCTGTGGGGCTGCTCACGGGATGCATGGCATGGCACAGGGAGGAGGGCTCTGGACTAACTGTGGTGAGAAGAAAGGGGCATCCTGGGCAGGGACAGCAACACGAGAAAATAGCCACGCCGTGCCCACAGCACAGGGCCCAGCGTTCGCATTAGAGCCTGGGCACTGGGTCCATGTCAATCCCTGGTGCTGGTCCAGACACTGCCACTAACCAGAGCTTGAACCCCCTCCCTACGTGGGGCCTCCCTGTTCCCACCTATGAGACAACCACGTAACATACGGCCCCTTCCAGCTCCCACTATCTGGGCGGGGTGGGAGGTGGGCTCAGAGGTGGGCAGGAGCCACTGCGATGGGGCAGGCAGGCAATGGAGAGCCATGGGAGGTTCTTGAGCACAGAGGCGTCTGATGAAAGGGTACTGGAGGGAAATGAGCTTGACAGTGGGGTGAGCGAGCAGCCAGGACGTGGGCAGGGACTTTGGAGGATCAAGGAGCCCAATCAGGAGGTGGCAGAACCCCCAGGAAGATGGGACTGGCCAGAAGAGAACAGGCGGCCAATGAGCAGAGCCCTCGCCTGGCAGGTGGGAGCCTGGGCAAGCACGCGAGTCCCTGGCCTCGCCATCTGCATCTACAGAACAGGGCTGGGGAGTCCACGGCCCCAGGCTGTGATGGTAAAAGGGGTGATGTGGGTGCATGCCCTGGGCACGGGGCATGGGAGTGGCTCCCTGTGCAGTTCCCTCCTCTTCCTCCCGAGTCCGGCCGGGATCCTGAGGAGGTGCCTGAGTTGCAGGCTGGACACTCTGGCCCCTGGCTCCCACCCGTCCGAGCCTCCCCTCCCCCCACCTGGGCTGCCTGGCCAGACCCTCCCGAGCACCCTCACCTGCGGAAAGCCGGGCCTTTCCTCTGCCGCACAGTTAATCATTAACTTGTTTTTCACCAGGGAAGTGTCGGAGCCAGGACCAAGGCTTGGTGGAGAGCAGGTTCTTTGGCATTTGGGGATACGGAGAGGGCAGCTGAGGTGCGGGGCTCAGGGAAGCAGAGCTTCTGTACTGGTGGGGGAGCCCTGGGGCAGGCGTCAGAAGGCCTGGGTGCAGGGCATCCACTCCCGCACCCTGACTTCCCTTCGGCAGTGAGGACAAGGCCCGGGCCGCCTCTCTCTGGGGAGGGGACGGATGCGAGGGCTTCACGGCTCCCTCGACAAATGTCCCGAGGGTGCGTCATTACATCCGACCTGGCAATGCCGCCACTCGAGTGCCCGCCCGTTTATCCCCACCGACCTCTCGCACAGTCCTGCCCGAAACAGCCGCTGCCTCCCACCTGCCTGTGGCTGAGGCCGAGCACACAGGAGGCCACGGAGGAGGCGAGCTCTCTGCCTCCTGGAAAAGCTTCTGTCTCCCTGGCACGTGGCCCAGGGTGTTGGCAGAGACTGTCCTAACGTGGCAGGCACGGGGGTTCTGGGGATGTGGACGGGGCAGGAGCCAAGCAGGGGTGATGAAGGAGGAGTGGGGAACCAAGGGGGGGTCCCCAGGGGTGGAGCACCCGCGGGGTAGGGTGTGGACACCGGCCAGGGTGGGGACGCAGGGGCAGAGTGAGCTGCTGGCTCTGCCTAGGTAAATAACGTGGGCCCATGGCACACACTGGTGTTTGCACAGAAGGACTTGAAATGAGTCCAGACCTGCCCTCCATCCCTCGCAGCCACGGCCCCCCCAGTCTCTGCCCACCCCTCCTCACCCTGACCTTTTCTTCCCTGTCACTTAAAGGAGCCCTTGAAAGGAAAAGTTGAAATCTAAGGGAACACCCTTCTCTCTTGCTGGCATTCTCTTCGCCGCAGGAAACTGCAGGGCTGCCACGTAAGGTTGGGAGAGTTGGGCACTACACAAGGGGGTGGCAGAGGAGCTGAGATTCTACCTGGGCTCCATTCACCAAGCTATGCTACCCAGAGAGGAAGGGTGGCATTTTCTAAGTTGTACAAAGGTGTCAGATGGGCTAGCTGCAGCCCCAGAGAAGCCGGAGGTGTCAGACTGGGTCCTTTTCTTTGTCGCACCTGCAGAGGTAGAGCCAGCTGCACACCACGGCTGAGCAGGTGGGTCCCACAGGACAACTGGAGATGGGCCAGGGAGCCCCCCACTCTCCAGTGACCCAGTGTGGCACAGTAAGTGCCGCTGCGGCTAGAGAGGCTACCAGTCCTTTGATGAAAGCCTCCCCCACCTCCCGGCCAGACACCTTAAAGCAGCAGGTCTGCAGTTTGAACAGCCTCGGATCGCCCAGCAGCCTCTGAGACGTACTGCCGGGCCTCCCCCCAGAGCTTCTGCTTCGTGGCTCCGGAGAGAGCCTGGGAACGGGCGTTCTAGCAAGTTCCCGGTGTGGGTACTGCTGGTCTAGGCACCGAGTTTGAAGACTGCTGCTCTCAAATACAAATACCCTTGAGAAAGGACACGATTCACTTGCCCTTAACAGGTTTATCTGCTCCTCTCCTCCTGTCTCGGTTGTTTCCTGTTCATTGGCAGCAGGTGTCTGCTATAATCCTCCACCTCTGCCTTAGTCATTCTTGAGTCACAGGCCCCCAAATCACTGAGCAGCCTGGAAAGCCCAGTGTCCGGGCACAGGTACATCTCTCAAGTCCCCTGCCCCTCCCACACTGTGCCCCTGATCAGGGTTCAGGGCGAAGGGCCCGGGCGATCGGCAGGGAGCCAGGCCCCAACTGCACTGACTGGCGCTGAGTGGCGCCCTGGAGGGCCTGGGGCAGCGAGCAGCAGGCGGCTGAGTGGCTGAGGGTCTCGGCTGCTCCCCGGAGCCCGCCCCTCCTCACCACCTCTGCTGCCCCCAGGAAAGCGGGCCGTGGGCACCCCTCCAGCAGCTTCGCGTTCCACAGGGCGCAAGGGGAGAGGAGAGGTCCCGGGAGCTGGGAGGCCGCAGGGGCAGCGCCTTCCACAGGAGGGGGAGGCGGTGGGAACCGGGCAACAGCCCTGGCGGGGCACGTGCCTGTCAGTTGCTTCTCACCCTAGCCGACTCAAGGGTGTTACTTTGGGACTTTACTCACAGCCCCAGATGGCCCCGTAGGAGGGGCGGGACTGGCGACTCCCCGCCACACGCCCCCTGTTCCATCCTTCTCTCCCCTGCTGGTGAAGATGATGGCAGCCTTCTCCCTTCCACTTCCATGTCTGTCTCTGTCTAGGGTAGAATAAAAGAAAAGCTTTGCTACAGTAGGAAAGATTTAGGTTAGGTTAGTAGGAAGGATTTGGACATGAAGGGCTCCTTGTCCAGGCCTCAGTTTGCTTATCTGCCAAATGGGGCTATCATGCCTCCATTGTGAGGACTGATGAGGTCAAGAACCTCAGAAGATCGCCTTAAGCACATTACCTGCCTCAAGCTTTGCTGCTCCCAGCCAAGCCGCTTCCCTGGGGGGCGAGGGAGCTATCTGTTTACAGTCCCCGCCCCACCTCCCTTTCCTTCCCAGCCAGAAGCCTGTCTGCCCAGCCCTGCCCGAGCTGCCCAGTGACCCAGAAGCCCCCAGCTCTCCCGGGCCCAGCCCACTGCCCACTGGGCGCCTCATCCCCGTAACCAGCTTAGTGGCCCCACGGGGACGGGGAAGCAGTCAGACCTGACTCTTTCCTCTTTCCTTTCTGTGGACGCAGCCGCCAGCCGGAGCAGCAGGGGCATGGGCAGCGCCAGTCCAGGCCTGAGCAGCGTGCCCCCCGGCCGCCTCCTGCTGGCCCCCGACACGGCATCGAGGACAGACTTGGAGAAGGCGGCAGGGGCGGCGGGTCCCGAGAGACGGGACTGGAGCCCCAGCCCGCCCGCCACGCCTGAGCAGGGCCTGTCTGCCTTCTACCTCTCCTACTTTGACATGCTGTACCCCGAGGACAGCGGCTGGGCCGCCAAGGGCCCTGGGGCCAGCACGCGGGAGCAGCGGCCTGAGGAGCCCGAGCAGTGCCCGGTCATTGACAGCCAGGCCCCGGGGGGCAGCCTGGACTTGGTGCCAGGTGGGCTGACCCTGGAGGAACACTCGCTGGAGCAGGTGCAGTCCATGGTGGTGGGCGAAGTGCTCAAGGACATCGAGACAGCCTGCAAACTGCTCAACATCACCGCAGGTGAGCCCTGTCCCCACGCCGCCTCCATACAGGGGTCACAGACAGGGCTGAGGTCGCTGGCGTGGGTTGAGGCACTGCTGGATGGACTCTGGCCACCTCTGCCCAGCCCCGGGGTTGCTGGCACCTCCACACACACAGCCCATAACACAGTAGCTGTGAGCCTGGGCTGGGAAGGTTTTGATCCATCTCTGCACCCCAACTATGCCAGCCTACTGTCCCCACTTGGTTGGTGCCGGGTGACATGAATGCAAGCTCTACACCATCCTGCCCACCACCTCCCCTTGGACTCCCCTCCACTCTCCCCTCACTCACTCTGCTCCAGACACACCAGCCTCTGCCGTTCCCACAACACTCACCACAGGACCTTTGCACTGCCGATCCTTCAGCCTAGAAGGCTCTTCCCCCAGACATGTTTGTCCCACCTCCCCCGGGCCTTGACTCCAGCAGCACCGTCCGGATGAGGCCTGCCCTGACCCCCAACTGACGTTGCTGCCCGACCCCTTTCTCTTGCCCCCTCGACTGCTTCCCCACAGCTCTTCCTGGCGTCTGCCACGCTGCGCACCTGACTGACTTACACTGTTTACTGTCTGCCTCCCCCACCAGAGCGCACACTCCACAGGGCAAGGGTTTCGTTCTGTCCTGCCCGTCCCACACCCCTGTTCTTTGCAGAGCACTCGGAACATAACACACTCAAAACACTGCGGTTGGCCGGGCGCGGTGGCTCACGCCTGTAATCCTAGCACTCTGGGAGGCCGAGGCGGGCGGATTGCTTGAGGTCAGGAGTTCGAAACCAGCCTGAGTGAGACCCCATCTCTACTATAAATAGAAAGAAATTAATTGGCCAACTAATATATAGAGAAAAAATTAGCCGGGCATGGTGGCACATGCCTGTAGTCCCAGCTACTCGGGAGGCTGAGGCAGGAGGATCGCTTGAGCCCAGGAGTTTGAGGTTGCTGTGAGCTAGGCTGACGCCACAGCACTCACTCTAGCCTGGGCAACAAAGGGAGACTCTGTCTCAAAAAAAAAAAAAACAACAAAAAAAAAAAACAGAAACACTGCGATTGGATGAACCCAACCAGAAGCACTTGTTGAGATGCCAGGGCCTGTTCTAGGACTTGGGGACTGAGTGGTGACCACAACACAAAAGTCCCCATGTTCATGGAGCCGACATTCTAGGGAAGGAGACAGATCATAAATAAATATCTGTGTCACTGTCTGGTGGCGAGGAGTGGACATGCCGGGGCCGGGCACGTGGTGTCTGCCAGGCCTGGGGGGTGGCTCTGGAGCTGCCGCTCCGGGCTGGGGGCTGAGGGTCTCCAGGCCTCTGTCCCGCCATCCTCTCTCCGGCTTCAGGCGGGCCTGGCCCCTTTCCTGCAGGCTTCGGCGTCTGCTGGGAGGAGGGGTCTTCACGCATCCCTCAGGCCCAGTCCCTGCCCCCATGTCCCCCGCTGGCGTCCCCAATGGCTCAGTCCTCCAGTTCCCAGTGCCCACGCCAGCCCCGCCCCGAGGTTCTCACCGGCCTCTTTTCCCACCCTGGCCGGGACGGGTGCGTCCTCTGAACAATGGGACAGAAACAAATTGCTTTGACCTTGCGGAGAAAAATGAGCTTGTTAAACGAGGGCAGCCCAGCCCGTGGGTCACCTAGCTGGGGCACTGGCTTAGACCACACTGTTCACGTAGAGGCCCCACCGCGAGCGTCCCCGCCAGCCTGGCCCCGCCTGGCCCCGCCCCACCCGCCTGGCCCCGCCCCCACCCGCCTGGCCCCGCCCCCACCCGCCTGGCCCCGCCCGTGTGCCCGCCAGGCTCTGCGGAGCAGCGCCCTCCCCTGGCCTCTGTGGCCGCAGTTGCCCACGCCCCCCTGCGCCCCGCCCTTCGCGTGTTCCCCACGTGTGCACGGGGCTGCTGCTCTGCACTGGCCCTTTGTCAGGTTAGGAACAAGCAGACAGAGCGTTCTGTGCCTCAGTTTCCTCATCTGTAATATAAGGCGGTGGGGGAGTGTTGGGGCTGTAAGAGTAATTCCTGTTGGGTTTTCCTCTTGTTCCCTGAGGGGTTTGGGAGGGCAAGCGGGATCTGGGGGAGACGCTCGGGTGTTTCTGGCTTAGTGTCACCTCTCCAGGGCCCCCCGGAAATGTCCTCTGAAGGGGCTACAGGGGCCCAGGAGGCCCCAAGGCCTGGGGCGGGGGGTGCAAGTGCACCAGGCTACCCTGCCCTGAGCCAACTTTGTTTCCAGGGTCCTGGCTCCTCCCGCTCATCCCCCTCTCTTCTTGGGTACCCATCTCCACAAGTACCCCCAAGGCCCTGCCTGGGCCTGGCCTGGCCATGCTCCTAGGAGCGAGTGGTCCCAGGCCACAAGGCACCGTGGTTGCCCCCGCAGCAGGAAAGGCACATTTGGGGCAGTGCCCGCAAGCAGCCCCTGAGCTGACAGGGTGTCCCTTGCTCAGACCCTGTGGACTGGAGCCCTGGCAACGTGCAGAAGTGGCTCCTGTGGACAGAGCACCAGTACCGGCTGCCGCCCGTGGGCAAGGCCTTCCAGGAGCTGGGGGGCAAGGAGCTGTGCGCCATGTCGGAGGAGCAGTTCCGCCAGCGCTCGCCCCTGGGCGGGGACGTGCTGCACGCCCACCTGGACATCTGGAAATCAGGTAGGACACTGCATGGCGGGGCGGCCCCTCAGGCTCCAAGCCAGGCATACTGAGGGGGACGGCTAGGCCAGGGTGCCAGCTGGGGAGTGGCCCTCCACTGGGGAGACAGCCCCTTGCCCCGGCCCGGACACTGCTCTGAGTCTTGGCTCCACTGCGGCCGCCCCCTGGATCCTGGTGAGCCCCCAACCCCGCCCGCTCCCGGCCGGTCAAGGCCGCAGAACGCTAGGACAGAGCACGCGGGCAGTTAAAGAGTAGAAGTCAGACAGCACCAGGCGTCAGAGCTGAGGGCAACCAAAGATACGGGGCAGTCCTTTGTTTCCCTTTTAAAATTTCACTTGTTTTGCTTTGTTTTTCCTTAAAGAAGTAATGAGGCATAAATGTGCATGTTAAAAAAAAAGACCATAGTGAGGCTGGGCTCAGGCCTGTGATCCCAGCGCTCTGGGAGGCTGAGGCAAGAGGATCACTTGAGCTCAGGAGTGCAAGACCAGCCTGAGCAAGAGCGAGACCCTGTCTCTACAAAAAATAGAAAAATTAGCCGGGCACGGTGGCGCTCCTGTAGTCCCAGCTCCTCTGGAGGCTGAGGCAGGTGGATCACTTGAGCCCGGGAGTGTGAGCTATGATGACGCCATGGCACTCTAGCCAGGACGACAGATTGAGACTCTGCCTTAAAACAAAACAAAAACCAAACCAGAGTGAAAAATAGTATACTATGAACAGTTTCTCCACCCGCTCCCGACCCCAGCTTCCAATCCTCCCTGGAGGCAAAAGCTGTGACCAGTTTCTTGGGTACCTCCCCAGGGAAAGTCTGTGCATGTTCAAGCCAATATATGTGTGTGTGGTTTTTACTTCTTTTTTAAGAAAACATAAATAGTACCAGCATATCCCGCTGCTCCGCACTCAGCGGTGTATCTTGGCTCTCGCTCCCTCCCCATCGCCTGTATACAGCGCGCTACCGGGCGCCACCATGTGCCCTGCACACAGCTGGGCACTTTGGCGATGTGGTGCTTGCTCAGTGAGCTAGTCACGGCCCCTGCCCCTAGGAGCTGAAATGCACAGGGGACAGAACCCACTCCTATGACCCCGGCAGGGACCAGTGCCCTGCCCCAGCCCAGGCCCCTTGCCAGGGGGTGGTCGGTGCCAGGCCGAGGGAAGGCCAGTGGCGACATGGGCAGAAGCTGGCTGGTGTGGGGGTGGGAGAGGCAGAGAGGGCCTGGGGGGAGCCGGAGGGGAGGGAGCGCTTGGTGACGCTGGTGGCTGGAGGGCAGGGAGCCTGTTTATATGATGCCAGGCACTGAGCGAGGTGCAGTGCAGACTTCACCACCTTGAACTCCGAGAGACCTGTGAGGGCTGTCCTACCCCATTTTACAGGTGAGGAGAGGGAAGCACAAAGAGCCTTGATGTCGGGTGCCTCCCCGAACACAGGGGATGCGTGCAGAGCCTCCAAGGCCCCTTCCGCTCTGACACCCTGACTTTTCTTCCAGGAAGCAGCTGCTTGTAAACAGCTTGCCTTCCCAGCTTGGAGGAGGCAGGGGCCACAGGGGAACCCTTAGCCGCAGAGGGGCCCCTGCGGCCCCATGGTCCCCAAATGCCCTCCCTCCTGCACCCTTGGGCCTCTCCTGGGTCCCCAACCTCCTCTCTTGCCCCGCAGCGGCCTGGATGAAAGAGCGCACCTCGCCTGGGGCGATTCACTACTGTGGTGAGCAGGGAAGGGGCCGCCTGGGGGGCGGGAGCTGCCATGAAGCAAGCAGTGGGGTGCCCCGCGCTCCCCACTCACCGCCCCTCCCTGGCCGCCAGCCTCGACCAGCGAGGAGAGCTGGACCGACAGCGAGGTGGACTCGTCCTGCTCCGGGCAGCCCATCCACCTGTGGCAGTTCCTCAAGGAGCTGCTGCTCAAGCCCCACAGCTACGGCCGCTTCATTCGGTGGCTCAACAAGGAGAAGGGTGAGCAGGCTCCGCGCGGGCGCCGGGAGGGTGCGGGCGGAGAGGTGAGGCTGCCCCCGGCTTTTGCCTGAAGGCCAAACACGCCCCTCTCACGGGACTGCCCGGTCTGTGTGCAGTTCGTGTCTACGCCTGTCTCCTGGCCAGACTCTGTCTTGCTGGGGACCCTCAGTGCCACACAGTGCCTGGAACATAGAAGGGGCTTAAAACTACTTGCTGAGAGTGGGACACAGTCCTTGTCCTCAAAACATCATAGCTTCACTGGAAAGACTAATGGTGTCCAACCAGAAATACAATGCGAGCTGCACATGTAATGTTGAAGTTTCGAGTAGCCACAGTAAGGCCAGCGCGGTGGCTCACGCCTGTAATCCTAGCACTCTGGGAGGCCAAGGCGGGTGGATTGCTTGAGGTCAGGAGTTCAAAACCAGCCTGAGTGAGACCCCATCTCTACTATAAATAGAAAGAAACTAATTGGCCAACTAATATATAGAGAAAAAATTAGCCGGGCATGGTGGCGCAAGCCTGTAGTCCCAGCCACTCGGGAGGCTGAGGCAGGAGGATCGCTTGAGCCCAGGAGTTTGAGGTTGCTGTGAGCTAGGCTGACGCCATGGCACTCACTTTAGCCTAGGCAACAAAGCGAGACTCTGTCTCAAAAAAACCCCAAAAACAGGTGAATTAAATTTTAATTATACATTTGGCTAATCCAATATTATAAATTATGATTTAACACATAATATTAAAAATTATTAATTTTGATAATTATAATTAATTATTAATTATTTTACTAAGTCTTAGAAATCTAGTGTGTAATTTATACTTCTAACACATCTCAATTTAGGCTAAGCCACATTTCTTCAAGTGTTCAAGAGTCACATGTGGGTGGTGGCTACTGTATTGGACAGTGCAGGATGTGTGTGTGTGTGTGTGTGTGTGTGTGTGTGTGTGTGTGTGTGTGTTGGAAAAGGCTAAGAGCCAAGAAACCTGGGTCCTTCCTGTCATAGTAGCTGTGGGTACTGGACCTCACTCTTCTTATCTGTAAAATGGGCTAGATTCATTCACCCAGCAAAGCTTCATTGAACACCAACTCTGATTCCACACTCACTCAGCCGACTTCACGAGAATTGTAGTGTCCTGAAGGTCTGGGGGGGCTGCAGCGTGTAGGAGAAGTAGCCGTGAAGTGAGCTGGGTGTGGAGCATTTCAGGGCTCTGATGGGGCTGTGGGGCAGGAAGGAGGGGATTAGCCTGGTCCAGAAGGACCCCATGGGGGAGGGTGGGGGCCGTCGAGGAGATGTTTCCTGCACAAGGTGCGGTGGCCTGCGTGTGCATTTGGGACCAAGAGTGAGCCAGTCTTTGGGGACAGTCTCCAAATGGAGACTGATGGAGTGCTAGGACAGGGAGGGCTTGTGGTCTGGAAGCTTCCTGGGAGGGGCACCGGCCTGGGCCTGGGCAGGAGGGTTTAGAATGAGAATGAGGGGTGTTACCAATGTAATCCGTGTCCCAAGGGCACTTCCTCAGGTTCCTCTCTAAGGTTTTCTGTAACAACTCAACAACCCACGGTGGTCGGTGGTCGGGACAACCCCTCTCACAGACAGAGAGAGGAGCCTCAGGCAGGCTCCAAAGGGAGCGAGTGGCAGAGCCAGGACTCAAGCCCAGTTGGCCCAGCTCCAAATCCAGTCTGCTTGCACCACCTCGTATTTATTAATCATGCCAGAAAGGGCTGCGTGGGCTGCAATGTCTGAGAATGGCAAAGAGGTCGTTTCAGGCTTGGAGCCGCAAGGACACAGGTGGTGGGTTGAGCTGATCTTGCCAAGTGAGCCGCGGGCACCGCCGGGTCTGCGAGGGGCTTTGGACTAGGACATGCAAACCCCAAAGTAGGAGCCGGGGGTGGCAAGGGCCAGGCCCGCAGGGCCCCAAAGAACCGACTAGGTACACAGGCTCCCCCTGCAGCAGGACGTTCGTGACTCCAGAGTATTCTCTACCATTTATCGGGGCATGTGGCACATGCTTTGCACACGTGTCTTTAGCCCTCACCACGACCAGGGGAGCAGGGCCACCGCCCGGCCCTGCCTGGGCAGAGGGCGGTCTCGGCACTCGCTGCCTTGGATCCCAGGAGACTAGCCTGGTCGTCTGGGTCTGTCTCCTTCCTGCCGCCCCACTTGCGCCACTGGCTCTCTCCGGGCCCTCCTGCTCCCCCAGGCATCTTCAAAATTGAGGACTCCGCCCAGGTGGCCCGGCTGTGGGGCATCCGCAAGAACCGTCCTGCCATGAACTACGACAAGCTGAGCCGCTCCATCCGCCAGTATTACAAGAAGGGCATCATCCGGAAGCCGGACATCTCCCAGCGCCTGGTCTACCAGTTCGTGCACCCCATCTGAGGCTGGGCCCCTCCCGCCGGCCTGCCCCTGCCTTGGCCGGAGCCCGAGCTGTGGCCAAGAGGGTAGTCAGCTGGCATTCCGGAGTCCAGGGTCAGGGAGGGGGCGGCCACCGCCCTCAGGGGTATAAGTGGGCTCTCTGGGGCCCGGGAACCCCAGAGTGGGGTGCTTCCTCCTCAGGCCTGAATGCTCACATGCCCAGTCTTCTGGAGGGTGGAGGGGGCAGGGGGCTCCAGGTGTTCACCACTCTCTAGGGAAGCACAACCCTCTGACAGCCTGTGGCCAGGAACTGCCAGAGCAGAGCCTACAGAATGGCAGTGACTTGGCCAAGGCCACTCGCAGTCCACGGCTCTCTCTGCTACACGCCCCACCTCCCACTGTGCACCATGCCTGGCATGGTGCTAGGAGATGTCTGCACGCCTGAATTGGGGACCCAGGGGTGCCCCCAGGAATGGATAATAAAGATTTAGAGAACTGACTCATCCTCAATGTTTGTGCAGTGAATGGCACAGCCCGCAGGCCATCAATGGTCAAGAGAGGTTGTGGTCACAGGAGCCTGGGGTAGTCAAGGGAGGCTTCCTGGAGGAGGTGGCATTGAGCTGAGCCTAAAAGGAAAGCGATAATTGATGTGTGGAAGCATGTGGGAAAGAGGCCGTGAGTCGTCAAAGCCCAGGAGGGGCCACCCCATCTTCCCCACCCTGGTTTGGGCTGAGAGGAGGGAGGCAGGGCTGGGACTGAGGAGGGCCGCACGTGGGGCTGGAGGGGAAGGTGTCCTCCGCACGCTCCTGCTCTGCCGTGGAGCAGGCTCTGCGCCTGCCTCTGAGTGCGGGCGGCAGAGCGCTTGTCTCTGCTCAGCCGGCCACAGGAGCTGGGCTGCACCGAGGGGCGTGGGAGGGGTGGGGCTTCGGCCCCTCGTGGGACCCTGGCCTTGCCGCATACGGGGTGGATTGCTTAGCTTGTTTCGGTTTCTCCTGAAGACCTCGGAGGGCCGCGGGCCCGGTGTGAGGGCGCGATGGGGAGAGGGTGTGCGCCAGCGTCTGTGCGTGTGCCGGGCCGCCGGACTGGCCGCTCACGCTGCCCGCAAAGCAGCGCGCTCAGCTCCCTCACGCTCCCTCACGCTGGCTCGCCCAGGCCCTGTCCTGCGGGCCTGCGGCGTGGCAGGCACTTCCATTGTTTTTAGTCACTGACCTTCCCACAAAAGTATGAGGTAGGGGTTACTGCCCCATTTTGCAGATGATGAAACTGAGGTTCAGGGTGGTTAAGTGACTTGCTCACGGTCACACAGGTGATTAACAGCAAAACCAGGAACTGAGCCCACACCTGTCTCTCCCCAGGGACAGGGCCCTCTGCCCGCCATGGCTGCCGCTTCCTGATCGGTCAGCACCCTTCGCGCTCTGTAGCTCTGTAGCCCTCACCCTCTGAGGCCTGGCTTCCAGCCAGCGCCACCCACACCGCTAAGGGTTAAATGCCGTCTGCACTGCTGCCTCTGCCCCCAGCAATTTTATTGTCTTCAGGAGAAAGTTTGCTCCTGGCAGTGAGCAAACAGCACCTTGGCATCTGTCCGCTGGGGCTGGACCAAGGAGAGGGCCCTGCCACAGGCCGGTGCCTCGCTGGGCCCTGCTGTCTCCCACCCCGGGAGGGGGCAGCCTGGGACCCTGGCCAGAACAGGCTCTGCTTTGCTGAACTGGTTTTGTCTCCAGCCAGCTGGGATGCTTGTGTGTCCCCAGCCGGGCCGGCTGGGAAGGCCCAGATCTCAGGCAGGGGCGGGGGCGGAGGCTGGGCAGGGCCGGACGCTAGGAGTGTGAAGCCGGGCAGCTCCCGGCTGCAAATCCTTGGCAGCCACCCACCCAGTGACATCTTGTGAGCTGGCAGCAGCAATCTGCGGACGCCTTTCCCACTTCCACACACTTCCCTATCAGAACCCCACCTGGCCCAGGTACTCCCTGACTCCTCTCCATGGGAACCCACCCCCAGGGCGCCCCATGACTAAATGCAACCACCTGAGCACGCACGGCCACACGGCCTTCCGTTCTGTTTGCGCGCTCCTCCATCCGGCGGGAACCAGGGCTTCACACAGCTGGGGCAGTAGGGGAGATGGGGTGGCACATAGCTTCAGTCTCCAGCTTGACCCTTCTCCCCGCCCTGAGCACACCTTGGGGCTGGAGGAAATTCGCCCTGAGTAACAGGTTTGTGCCAGGGCCAGAGGGGCCTCAGAGAGACCTCTTACCAGCCCCGGGGGAAACTGAGGCCCCTAAGCTGAGAGTGGAGGGGGGACACCGTGAACGGACCTTAGTGCTGAGACTGAACCCGCCCTGCCCAGAGATGTGTGGGCAGGCCTGGCAGAGCGGCCGAGGCCCAGAGCCCGTCCTGCCCACGCCCCTGAGAACTTCTCCCTCCCGGGGGCCCCACACAGAGACGTCGTCAGACGCAGGGTACAGGAAAGCTGCCGTCACAGCATGGAGCCGGCACTGTGGACAACCAGGAACCACAGCCTCAGCAGTCACCTGTGGCCTCAGCAGTCAGTTTTAAAAATCAAACCTATTTGGGGGCTACATTCACCCTTGAACCATGAGCTTGGGACCCCGAATGCCCCAGTTCTCCCGGTCAGGGCGTGTCACTGTGCAAGCAGAACCTGAGGCCAGAGCCCCAGGAGCCTCCAGTGTGACCCTCCCCAGAACAACGGGACCAGATGCCGCCAGGTGAAGGGATCGGCCGGCAGGTGCCCCGCCTGTGAGTGACCGGCCAGGACAGCACCCGGTTTTGCTGGGGCACCAACCACCTCCCCACAGACACCCCAACCGCGCATGGTTCTCAGAAGGCTCGGAGACCCCCAGGACTAAGACACACAAGACTCCAGATGACAACACCCAGCCAGGTTGACACAGTTCTGGGTTTTATCCACAGTCATACAATCACAACTTATATATATATATTTGTATTTATATACCCTTAAATTACACAATCATGTACAAAACAGGTGCATTGCTGAGACCACAGCACTTTTCGGAGTTTCACAAGTGTCAGAACTAATGGAGTCAGGAAGCCTAGGGTGGCGGGTGGCAGGGTGGCTCTGGCTCCTCGCAGAACCAGGCCACAGAATGGTGGTTAACTGGGGACAAACACGTTATCGCTGAGCCCCACTGGGCGGGCCCGTGCAGCATCGAGGGTGCGGGTGGGGGCTACAGGAGACGGCTGTGGGCACAGCGAGGGGCGCAGCCCCCACTAGGTGTTGAGTGCCCTGATACCAGCACTGACGGGTGGGGCTGGGCTCCTGGGGCTTGGGGACTTCCAGGTAGGAGACCCTCCTGCTCTGGGGTCCTGAGGAGCCTGGGGACCGAAAGAGAGTGGTCCTAAATGGCCATGGAAGTGACTGCTCAGAAGGGATGGGGGTCTAAGTCCCTGCCCTGGCATGGGCAGCTAGAGTGCTAAGACGGACAGGCCTGGGGGCCAGACAGGGCTGCAGCCCCTCCCTGGAGCTCAAAAGCCTCTGGCACAGAGAAGGGGAGCCCAGGCCCCAAGGTGCAGATGTGCCGGTGAGGGGCAGCGGTCCCAACCCCAACTCTGCCTGGGAAAGGTAGGAGAGGCTTTCATTCCAGAGCTGGGAGGACAGCAAGCTTCCAAAATCTTGCTTCCAGCTCTGCAGAGCCCAGCCAGGACACTGGATCTCCGGCTGCAGCCAAGGCCCAGAGACCAGGCAGTGATAAGGACAGGGGTGCTGGTGGCAGGCGGTGAGGATTGCCTGTCCCTGGGCTGCCATCACCCCCAGCCCCGAAGGAGGCCTGTCCCAGTTTGGGCCCGTGCCAGGGTCTGTCAGGATTCTCTGTGCCCACATGCAGGCCGGAGCCTTGAGGCTGGGGTCTTCTACTCCTCAACAGCGGGCTGCTGGGAGCAGCAGCAGCAGGGAGCGAAGGGCTGAGGGCTGTCGGGGGGCTGGGCTAGCACGCTCTCTGCTAGCACGGGGGTACAGTAGGGAGGAGTGTCTGTAGTCCAGAGGCCCAGCAGTGGCATCTTCTGTAACAAGTCTCACTGGGACCATAGGGCTTCTCAGCTCCTCGCCCCGGAGGTCCCCAAGAGATATCTCTCCCAGCTACGCCCCCACCTCTTGTGATCTTGTCCAGTGCTGGTCTGCTTCCCAAGCCCCCCGAATCCTGTAGGGGGGCTGGTACCTAGCACTCCACACTACTGCTGTCACCAACCAGATGGGCCCTTCGCCCCGACCCACCCCCAAAAGTCCTTTAATTATGACCCAGGCTTGGAGAGATTGAGGGGCTGCCAGCAGGGGAATGTTGTTCTGGGGGCTGGGGGACAAGGGAGAAAGACATGGTGACTATCCTGCTCCAGAGGGCCCGGGCTCCCGTTTCCTGCCAAACTCAGCTGCAGGCTTTCCTCTGACGGGCCCCGCACCGTCTCCCAGGCAGGCCAGAGAAGGGCCTGGTGGTCGGGCTGAGTCTTGCAGGCACAAGGCCTGGTCTCATGGAGGCTCGTGCTGAGCCCAGTGACCCTATGGTTCTGGATGGACAGGGAGGGAAGGCAGGTGGGGGGCGAGATGCCCTCCTCCCCAAGAAACGGGAGGAGGCTGCTACTGTTGCTGGCTATGCTGTGAGTTTTGGGTCCCCACCCCTGCCAGAGGACTTGTGAGGGGGCAGGGTCTCTGCAAGTTACTAAGGGGTATGGCTCTGAGGAAGAGCCCGTGCCCAAAGTACTGACCGCTGGAAAGGAGGGCCCACACAGGGCCTTGGTCCCTCACATGGGCCTGGAGCTGGGAGGGCGGCACAGACACCTCCTGTATCCCAGGGACACCATCACTTCCTCCAGCTCACCCCTCTGCATGTGCGGGGAGTCTAGGGACGCCTGGGAGCGTCTATGGTGGAGGAGGGTGACCAGGATGGGGCTAGGACTAGAGGGGCACTCCCTAGGGCAGAGTGGAAGACTAAAGATTGGAGGGCCTCCCTTCTCGGGGTCTGGAGGGGAGGCCTTGAGAGTAGGGTGGTGGTGGAAGGGGAATAGGGTGCGGGGAAGAAGAGGTTAGGAAACCAGGCCCAGGGAGCAGGAGCAGGCGCCATGGCCTGGAGGGAGTGGGACGGAGGTAAGGCAGGGTAGAGGGTCCAGGAGACATCCCTCAAGGCTCAGGGGACTCTTTGGTGGAACCTGAAGAGCAAATGTTGTGATGTTGGGCTATGTCCTAAGACCCTCACCTGCCCTGGGGCCATCATCCCAAGCCCTACCACCCTGGCCTCCGGGTGGCCCTGCAAATGCTCTGTCTCTGTATTTTTTGTTTTGTTCTGTTTTGACTTTTAAAAAAATAAAAGCTTGATCGGAAAATATGTCTGGAACTCTATGGCGAGGGAAAGGAGACGAGAGTGGGAAGGGGGAGGCGGTGGGCAAGGAGTGAGGGGTGTGGGGAGCGTGGCAGCTAGATGGCCTCCACGTAGTTGGCGGGGTAGAGGCCCAGCTGCCCGCTGTCCAGCCGCCCGCGGCACCAGCCCTGCTCATCCTCCTCGCCCAGCTTGGTGAGCTCGTCTCCTGGAAGGGGACACAGGGAGGGGGTCAGAGAGGGCCGCCCCTCCTCAGCACACTCCCGCTAGGCCAGCCCTCCAACGCCCCTCCCCCTTAGCGCCGTTACCACCTGGTCTGAGATATTGGCCAGGGCCCCCCCTCGGAGACCAGCCCCAGTGCCACCCCAACACCCACGTGCGCCCCTGGCACCGGGTCCCGGCCTACCGACTCACCTCACGGCCGGCCCCGCCCCCAGGCCCAGGCCCCGCCCACTCCAGGCCCCGCCCACTCCACGGCCCGCAAAGCCCGGCGAGCCCCGTCCTCGCCCCGCCCCACACCCAATCCGGGCCGAGCCCCTCCCCGGCGCCCCCGCGTGGCCGCGCCGCCGCCCACCGGCCTTGAAGCTGAGCTCGTCCTGCTCCTGGCCGTCGTAGTCGTAGAGCGCCCGCACGCGCACTCCTTTGGCGTCGTCCTCGAAGGGGTTGGCACCCCCGTTGGCCTCACCGCCCCCGAAGGGGTTCCCGCTCTCGTCGTCGGACCACTCCGTGGCGTAGGGCTGGCCCCTGTCGTAGCTGCTCACGCTGAGCCGCAGAGGGAGGACCCAGCTTGAGCTCCCTCCTGCCTTCCCCCTTGCCCCCAGGGCTAACCCCTGCCAACCTGGGCTCCGACCCCAGATTCTGCCAGGGCTGGAGCAGGGGCTGGCCGCACAGGAGGGGTCTTGAGACAGTGACCCTCAGAGACAGCTCCTTAAACAGGTGTGAGGCGGGGCCATTCACATTAGTACTCAGCACTTGAAGGAGAGGGCACAGAAGGGGACCCCAGAGAACATCTGAGCCTTGAGCTGAGAGGGGAGAGTATCACCTAATGGTTAAGAGCAAGGATCCTGGAGTCAGACCTCCTGGGCATCATTCCTGCGGGGAGGTTTACTGACTGTGTGACCTTGGGCAAGTCACTTAACCTCTCTGGGTTTCAGTTTCTCCATCTGTAAAATGGGAATATTTGCACACTACACACTAGCCTAGAGTAAGGGAAAGCTTAAATACATGGAAAATGCTTAAACCGGAGCCATACACAGTAGGTACTGTAGAAGGATCAGCTACCACTGTCTTTTAGAGGAGACATGGTTGCTGTGATCTGGACCATTTCTTGTCTCTGGAGGCAAAATTCAGCTGCCCCAGTGTGTGGACTCCTTTTGGCCCTAGAAAGCTCCATGGAGACACTCACCTGCCACGGTCCCCAGCCTGGGATGTGGACTCCACCACCCCAGTGGCATTGGTCAGCGTCACTCCCTCTGCCTTCTTGGGCTGCTTCTCCTTCTTGGCGGTGGTGTGAGGGAGGTCTGGGTTCCACTCCTGGTGGGGGCAGGGGAGCAGTCAGGCTTGGAGGCTATACCCTGAGGACCCTTCCAGCCTTTCAGGCTCCCCTTCTCACCCCACGAATCCTCACCTCAAACTGGGGCCAGTTCATGGGCATGCCAGGGCCACTGGTGCTGCGGAACCATCTGAGGTCCTCCTGGGCATCAGCCCCCCGGATGGCCTGCTCCAGCTCACGGTACACGTGCATGTAGCTGTGCACAGGGAGATGGGGGAGGCAGAAGACAGATTCACCACGACACCTCTTCATGCTCAGTGAGGGCCCAGAGCCCTGCCAAGGGACCAGAATGCTGGCCATGCCTTCCAGGTGGGCTTTGCAGGGGGCAGCTGCAGGCATGCCCAGTGAGCTCCCTTCTCCTTCCCCACTTTAGCCACTCACCTGTCCATCCAAGCACGTTTCTCGAGTCCCTAGTGTGCGTCAGCTTGTGTCAGGTGGCCCCTGTTTTGGAGCCTCTTCCCCCTTGTCCTCTGCAGCTCTGCCCTCCCCTTCCTGGCACTGTGAGGTAAGGCCTGGGAGGCCCTGCCCCCGTTACACCTTCCTCTGGCTGTGCCTGTGCCCTCCATGCCCCGGTACCTGCTATTCTCAGCTAGGTTGAGGTGACGTTTGATGTCCAGCAGCACCTCCTTGAGGAAGACCAGCCGCTTTTCCTCAAACTGCTGGCACTGTTCAAACACCTGCTCCATGCCCTCCATGTACTGGGGCGTGGTCTTGCCCACATCTTCCAGCACCTTCTCATATTTCTCCTGTGTCTGTGGGCACCAGGGTGGAGGGTGGGTGGGACTCAGCCAGGCCTGCAGCTCCCAGGTGCCACCCACTCCAGGGGCTCTCAGGCCCTCCCCTGCCCCCGCCGGCCCGGGCCCGGCCGCACCTTCTGCACATCCTGCTTGCACTTGTCCACTTTGTCCTGCAGCTTCTTTTGCTGCTCGGCTGTGACTGACTGCTCCGACTTGCTGTTCATCTCCCGTGTCATGGCCAGCTTCTCCTCTTTGCAGGCCAGATGGTAGGCCTTCTTGGCTGCCTCCAGCTGTGGGGAGGGCAACAGGGGGCAGGGCTCCCACTGGTGAGCAGGAACAAACCTGGTCACGTCCACTCCTCCCCCGCCCACTCCCCGGGAGCTGTGAGTGCCGTCCTTAAGAGGCAGGAGGGGTGCAGGGCCTGGCTCCAGGTATTTGGGAGCAGGGCTCTCCATCTGTGCGGTGTCCCTGTGTGGCACTGCCTGCTCCCCTGCAGATACGCTCCCGTCAGGCCGTGCAGTGCCGCCCTGTCCTGTCTGCGGATCCAGAGGGCAATGTGCCTCCTGCCCCTGCCAGTATCTTTCCCGGAGACAGTGCCTCTTTTTGCCCGTGGGTCTCTTTACTCATTGGGCACCGTCTGCCCATGTATGGCTATTTCTTCCTGGAAAGAAAGTGGCTCCCCCTCCTCCCGCGATCCGTAGACACCCTCCCTGCGATCGGTCCCCGCTGATCGGACTGGCCCTCTGAGCTGGCCGCCCCTACCTCCTTCATCTTCTTGGCCCAGGGCTTCTGGGCCTTGCGGAAGCCATCTTCTGCCTCCTTGGTCTCCTTGAAGCCGCCCATGATCTGCTTGTGATAGGCGTCCTTCTGCCAGTTCTTGACCTTCTCCAGGTCCTCGTTCAGCAGGCTGTTCTTCACCTCCTGGTGCAGCTCGCTCACCTTGTCCGCCTCGGTCATCATGGCACCCCAGGCGCGCTCCAGGCTGCCGTACTGTGGGCCTGAGAGAACGGCAGTGGTCTCGGGGAGCCTCAGCAACCCCCGCCCAGAGGCTCCCCGAGACTTTCCTTTTCCTTGCCCTTCCCAGGCAACGGAAACGGAAACAGAAACGCACTCCTCTGCTCCCCCGATGCGCATTTCTATCCTTTTGCTAGCAGCCTTCTCTGGCCACCGCACCCTCACACACTGGGCTGGGCTCTGTCTGCAGCTCCTATCCCCGCACCTCCTCCCACCTCCCCATCAGCGTGTGAGACCCCCGGGAACAGCCTGGACCCCGAGAGCTCTCACCAGCCCAGCGCAGAGCCAGGCACACAGTAGGCACCCCGGAATGTTAGCTGAATGCAAAACTGAAGAACCAGCGGGCGACAGGTGCCAGGAGGCGGCTGTGGCCCAGCCATGCCACATTCACCTACTGTCTGTGTGCTGGGACCAACTTCATGCCAGGCAGTGTGCTGGGGCTGCAGGCCCGGCCCTGCCCTCCTGGGGTTCAGAGTTTAGCGTAAGAAAACACTGGCAGATGTATGTAAATCCCACCTTGAAGCTGTTCTAGATGAAAGGAATCTAGAGGACAGCGAGACGCCTTGTGTGGCTCTGGACTGGATCTGGGACTGGCACAATTTGGTATAGTAAAATTTGCATACGGGCTGTATTAAATGTCCCAATTTTGATAGCTGAACTATAGTTACATAAGCAAATGTTCTCATTCGTAGGCAATACATGAAGAATTAGAGATGAAGAAGGCTGATGGCTCTAATTTCCTCTCAACTGGTTCAGAAAAAAGCATGCAGACCAGTGGGGAGGAGTGAGAAAACAAACGGCACTGGCGACTGGGGGAAGGGCTTGTGGAAGCTGCCTCTACTACTGGTGCAACCTCCTCAAAGCTGAAATTATTCCAAAAGAAGAAAAATTGTTTGTTTTGCTTTTTTTTTTTTTGTTTTTTTTTTTTTTTTGAGACAGAGTCTTGCTCTGTTGCCCAGGCTAGAGTGAGTGCCATGGCGTTAGCCTAGCTCACAGCAACCTCAAACTCCTGGGCTCAAGTGATCCTTCTGCCTCAGCCTCCCGGGTAGCTGGGACTACAGGCATGCGCCACCATGCCCGGCTAATTTTTTTTTATATATATATCAGTTGGCCAATTAATTTCTTTCTATTTCTAGTAGAGACGGGGTCTCGCTCTTGCTCAGGCTGGTTTTGAACTCCTGACCTTGAGCAATCCGCCCGCCTCGGCCTCCCAAGAGCTAGGATTACAGGCGTGAGCCACAGCGCCCGGCCTTTTTTTTTTTTTTTTTAGGGGAGTTAATACAGTTGTACCTTTTTTTTTTTTTTGAGACAGAGTCTCGCTTTGTTGCCTAGGCTAGAGTGAGTGCCGTGGCGTCAGCCTCGCTCACAGCAACCTCAAACTCGGGCTCAAGCGATCCTTCTGTCTCAGCCTCCCAAGTAGCTGGGACTACAGGCATGAGCCACCATGCCCGGCTAATTTTTTTTATATATATTAGTTGGCCTATTAGTTTCTTTCTATTTATAGTAGAGACGGGTCTCGCTCTTGCTCAGGCTGGTTTCGAACTCCCGACCTCGAGCAATCCACCCGCCTCAGCCTCCCAGAGAGCTAGGATTGCAGGCGTGAGCCACCGCGCCCGGCCTGCTTTTTGTTTTTTTAATCTAACCTGAAGTTGTACAAAATAGAGCTGAACAAGGAGGTCTGGCTTGGTCTGGAAAAGGCCTTGGGGCTACTAGATGCAGGGCGCATGCACGTTCCTGGGGCTTCCAGGACCCGACTGTGGGGGGCCCTGCTTAGGACCTGGGGGTGTGCACAGGGTGGGCTGGGGGCGCACCTTTCTCGATGAGCTGGCGCCAGCGCTTGGCCCAGTCGGTGAGCTGCTGAGCATAGGCCTTCTCGATCTTGGCGCGCTCCTGCACGCAGCTCATCAGATCGTTGCACAAACGGTGGCCGTCATCGATGCGCTTCACCGTCCGCTTGTAGTTCCCCACCTGGCGGCCAAGAGCCAGCACGACCCCCGTGGGCTCCCGGCCTCCCCGCCCCTGCGCCCCGTTGCCGCCTCCGCCCTCCAGCTCTGAGGCCCCAGCACCCCGCATCAGACCCATGTGCATGCGCCTCATCCCACTTTAAACATCACTACCTCACTGCCACAAACGCAGAAGGATGTTTATAAGTTGGACTTGGGCTAGAATGAATTATTCATTTTGTTCTTGTGAGCTAAATCCATTATATTTATATAGTCATGTAAGCGTTGAGTTGAGCTGCAGCTTTTTGACATAATATTATGTTTTGTAGACATCTCATTAAACACTTATTAATTTAGGTTTGGCAGTTTTCGCTTTGGGTTTCGGGAGCCAATAGCAGTTTTTTCCCCTAAGTCTCAAATATTTCCAGAGGCTCCGGAATGCTGGCTTCTCGTCTTGCCTCCAGCCCACGTCACGGCGGGGCTCCGAGAGCTCATTCCGCCCTCTGTCCAGTGCTCACCCCTGCCCACCTCACAGGGTGGGGGCGGGAGCAGCTCTGAAAGGCCACATAGACTGTAAAGTGCTGTACCTGTCTGTGTGACATGCTGGCATCTGAGTCAGGGCCCCCCAGAGCACGGCTACAGCTGCCTGTTGGACGCTGAGGACCTGGGAGGGGCCCAGGGGCTCGGGGGCTCGGCCCGAAGTCGTGGGGACTGGGGGCGTGGTGGGAGCCTGGGCCGGGGAGCATCAGGCCTCACCTCCCAGAAGCTGTCGGTGGTCTCCTCTGGAGCCAGCGAGGCCTCGTCGTAGGAGCCGGACATGGCGCAGCGTGTGGGGACGGACAGGTGGCGCGGCAGTTAGCAGGCTCAGCTGCTCATGCGCTGGGAGGGCAGGAGAGAGATCCCTGGAGACAAGCGGAGTGCCCCACATCCCATCCCAGGCCCGGGTTCCCAACCTGATGTGGCGATGAGGGCTCCACGGGACCAGGCTTCCTGCCCAGAGCCTAGCTCACCAGACCTAGGGTTACCCCAAGATTCACCCTGTAGCACCCTTGTGCCCACATCCCCATCTCCCCCCTCCACCTGCTCCCCCCGCCCCCAGCTCCCCGGCACCTCTCAGGAGCCGGCCCCAACCTCCAGAGCTGGCGGCACTGTCACTGTCTACGCACTCCTGGACTCATGGAGTTAGAAGTTAGGGCCACAAAGCTGTGTAGGTGCCGTACAGAAATCTGGGCTCGACTTATTAGACACACAGCTCCTAGAAGCCAGACTTCTGGGCTCGTCTTTGTGCATGTGCTGCACGTCCTCCCTGGGGCCTGGCAACCTATAGAGCCCACTGGGGCTTGAGTTTGAGGGACCCCGTTGGCTTCCCGAGTCTGGCCCCTTGGATGGGCTGCTGGGGCCTGCGTGCTCCCTGTCCCCACCTGCTTTCCCCTCAGCACTACCCACCTTGACCCCGCAGGGTCCGTGAGCCAGGCCCCAAACCCTCCCCAGGCTCCCCAATCCCTGGCCCCAAAACAATGCAGAGTCCCCGGTCTTGGCCCCTAGAACTTCCAGCCCCCAACTGGAGCCGGGACCCAAGTTCCCCAGGAAGTGGCAGCAGGCCCCTCCCCTCCAGCCCAGGCCCAGCACCTCCTCAGTTTTGGAGCGGCGCTCGGGCCCCTGTAAATGCCTCTGGCTGTCCTGGCTCCGAGCCGCAAAAGCCCCCATTAGCTGCTTACAAGTCTCCCGAGAGCCTCAGATGCGTGGCCACAGGTCAGATCACGGCGATCTGTGTGAGTGGGGCGGCTGTGTCCGCCCTGGATCTGTCGGCAGGCATCACAGTTGTCCAATCTAGGCCGCGTGCTGCCCCAGGGCCGGGGTGAGGCACTCCCCCCTCCCCTCCCCCAGCCAGGCCTCGCCGCCACCACAGGCAGGAATGGCGCAGCAGTCAGGAGACGGGCTCAAGAGGGCCAGGGCCCAGCCCTGGTTTCCAAAGAGGCCGCGGAGTCCAGGCCAGGCCTGAGCCCACCACGAGCTGCCAGCCTCTGCCTGGCTCCTGGCCCTGGGGGCGCCTCCCCGCCGCTGCGCTGCGCCTCTGGGACCGCGCACCTGGCTGGTGAGGACGCGCAGAGGGCTGGCCTCTGCGGGGTTCAGCCAACCTGACCCCTGCCCTCACCAGCGCGGCCTCTCAGGCTCAGAGCACATGGCAGTCCCTGGTCAAGGATGTCACCCTCCCTCCTGGCCTCCGTCTCCCCATCTGTCCAGGCCTGGCGCTCTTTTCCCAGTAATAACCTAGCACTGCCTCCCGGCACCTCGCGGGCACCTGGACATAGTTCGTTCCCTCCCTTTTAGCAACACGTCGGACAGTCGTTCCCATCAACTCGCGCCCAGTGGGGGTGGGGGAGAGGGAAGGCAGCTACATTCCAAGGTACAGGAAAGGAGTCTTTGAATTCTCCTCTTCTCAATTTGGCACTTTTCACTTATAAAGCGGTAACTGCTTCATAAAGAACATTTAACTTTAGACACAGAGAAATAAAAAGTAGGGGTGTTTAATGACGCACCCTCAGCAGGGCCAGGCAAGTGTCCCTGGGATCACAGCCCCGTCTAGAACCCTTGAATTCGCAGAGGAACTCTGCTCTGTGGGACACCCATAACGTGCGCGTGTCAGGGGCCGGTGGGGGAGGCATCCGTCACAGGAGCGAGGACCCCCAGCCACGTGTCTCTCAGCCGCAGACGGTTCTCGCCCCGGTCCGCCCGCACGCAGCAATGGACACGAGCGAGGCGCACCCTGCACGCCGCAACAGCGCTTCTGGGAACGCGCCTTCGCCAGCTGGGCCAACGAGCGGCGCTGACGGCAGCTATGGCACATCCGTGCAAAAGGCTGGAAACGACCCAAACCCGCCCACGGGGACCAGTTCAGTGAACTGGGGTGCAGGTCTGCAACGGACGCTTGGTCCCAAATGGACACTTCCCCAGACCACGTGGCCAAGGCAGACTGAGCAAGGCGAAGAACGGCATGGCTGGGGAAGAACACAGGCGGGGATGTTTCTGGAAGACCACGAAAGAGCCGGTCATGGCCATTGCCTTGGGGAACTGGATGGCTAGGGGGCAGGGTGCGAGGGACATTTTTCATCTTGGGTCCTTTTGTGCCCTTTTCATTTTGCCTTGTGTGATTGAGTTGCATACTTTTTAAGCCCTCCCGCCTGTGTCAGGAGAGAGAGCTAAGAGCCAGCACGGAGGGGGAGCTCTGGGCAAGCAGGGAGGGACGGTGCAGCCGAGACCCGGAATGTCAGGGCAGAGCGCCCGAGGGCCACTCTCCATCTTGTCCAGACAATGAGGCCAGGCAGAGGGCAGGTGAGACTTGCTAGGGGACACCCCTGGTGTTGGCAGGCGGTGGGTCTCCCTGGCTCCTAGCAAAGGTAGCATGTGTAGCAAGCTCCACCTGGGGGTCCCTGTTCTGACACCAATCTGCTGTGTGACTGTGGGCAATTCACATGGCCTCTCTGGGCTTTCCTGTGAAATGCGGATGATACGCCCCGTCTTAAAGATTAGATGAGGGGTGAGTGTCCAGCCCACAGCAGACTCCAGGCACTCCCCACGCCAGCCGAGCGCCAGACCCACAGGGGTGGGCCCAGGAAGGTGGCAGGCAGGGTCACGGAGAGGAGGCCGGGAGGCCGCGAGCACCACATGGCCAGACACACTGTCCTGCCTTGCCCTTGCCTCCCCCAAACTGCCCTCACGGCCCCGCCCTGGGGGCAGGCAGGAGGCCCAACTCTGGACAAATGCCACGTCCTTCCTGAAGGGCGGTCAGTGCCTGTCATCGCTGAACAGGCTGCATCCCTCAGTCAGAAAGGGATGTGGCGGGCACTGGCACTCCCCGTGGGCAAGCTCCGGAGGCTCCTGGCCTTGCCCCAGCCTGCAAAGGGGCACAGGCCCGTCTGATTTCTCTCGCCGCAGGTTGTAAGGCTACCTTGGTCCTGAAAGCCCTTGACTGTTAATAATGACAGCTGGCATTTATTGAGCACGTACTGTTCACATGTCTCATCCAATCCTGGCCACACCCCTACAAGGCAGGTCCTGTTGTCACCTCCACCTAGTAAATGAAAGCCCAGAGGCTCAGGGACGTGGCTGGGACAGAGCCTGTCCAGGTGTCTTGGGCAGGAGTGAGGGCAGCAGGACGGAGCCCAGCATCACAAGGCACCCACTGCTCCTGCACTTAAGGTTCTAACAAAAATGACAACGGCCAGCAGGGCCCGAGGGCGACCTCTGCCCTCCACGCTGTGCAAAGCAGCCACGAGAGGTAGGAACTATTATTAATGTCACCCTGTTTGCAAATGAGGAAAGCGAGTTATGGAGCAGTGAAGTAACCTGCCAAAGGCAGCCCAGTGTGATGGTTTTAGGTGTCGGCTTGAGTGGATTCAGGGATCCCCAGACAGCGGGGAAGCACTGCTTCCGGGCGTGTCTGTGCGGGCGTTTCCGGCGGGCTAGCATTCGAATCGTGGGCCGAGCACGGGAGATCTGCCCTCGCCCAGAGTGGGCAGGGCCGCCCAGGCGGCTGGCGCGGACAGAGCGAGGAGGGACAGGAAAGGTGAGTTCGTGTGTGTGCACGCTCGTGCTTTCTCTCTCTACCCCACCCCCAACTTCTGGAGCTGGAACACCCTTTTCCTCCTGCCCTTGGCTCTGCGACTGGCCCCAGTGGGCCCTGGTTCTCAGGCCTTTGCGCCGACTGAGCCACGTCCCTGGGTCTCCAGCGTGCAGACGGCCTGCCGTGGGACTCCCAGCCCCCAAAACCGTGTGAGCCAATTCCCCTGACAATCCGCTCCCATCCGTCCGTCCGTCCATCCTCCTGGGCCTGTCTCGCTGGGACTGGAACCCAGAGCACCACCCAGGCGCGGACTGCTCACCACTCACTGCGCTTGTGTCTGGAGTGGCGCTGACCCTAATGATGGCTATGGCTACTGTGCGGGCCCAGTGCCCGCCGGGGGCCAGGCGCTGCTCTGGCTGCTTCATGTGCTTAGTCTTCACTCGCAGACGGGGAAGCCGGAGCGCGGAGCGATTGAACGGTGCACCCAGGGCTCCGACAGGGCAGCGGCGGAGCTGGGATTCAGCGCTCTCTCCAGCTGCGGCCCCTGCACTGGTCCCCTCTGAGCCTCACTCCCCAGGACCCCCACGGAGGCCAGGAGGAGGCAAGAGGCAGGGAAGGAGGAAAGGACAAGGCGGAGGGCACTGAGCTTCCCCGAGCCCTTGCTTGTGCCAGGCCCCCACGCCCAGCGCCTCGTCCGTTCTCACGAGTCCTCAGAGGGGGTCTCGCTGCTGCTGCTGCTTCTCATCCAGAGACCAAGGCTCAGCGAGGCCAGCCAAGGTCGCACAGCTCAGGGGTAGGAGCGAGGACCTGCCTAGAGGTGTGCACAGGAGCAGGATCACAGGCTCTGGGATCAGACACCTGGGTTACGTCCCGGCGCTGTTATGTGTGGACTGGGACCTCGAGTGGTTCATTTCCTCCTCCTGGGCCTCAACTTCCTCATCTGTACAATGGGCTGGTGCAAGGATTAAATGAGCACTAGACCTCAGGGGCCAGACCATGCCTGGCACCCAGTGTGCTCCCATAGGTGCCCTCATTATTCACTTGCCGCCACCGCTGCTGGGACCAGGGTGGTGTCCCGTCCCAGGGCAGCCCCTCTCTTTGTGGAGCCAGGAAGGGGCCTTGCCTTCCTTGTCCACAAGGACAGTGCAGCCCACAGTGCGCAGAACGGAGGCATGGGGCTCCACCGCCTACCACCGCGAGGGGGGCCTCGGCCACGCCCTATAACGAGGCCTTGGTTTCCCACTGTGTGATGCGGGTACGCAAAAGGGAGCCCCAGGGAGAAAGGTGTCCTTCCTCAGGCCCCAGGCCTCCTCTC